ACGACTAAAAATAGAACATCCAGGGACGACCTAGAGGCTCTGCGCGTGACTCTGCCATCGATGCTCGAACCAGGGAGCTCTTCCCAGCCCAATACCATCCAATCAGAGCACAAACGACACCACAGCCAGAGAGAGAAACACAATTCGCCTCTGATCCCAAGGACAAGATGACCGATCGTCACATCGCGAGATCCCTTGCCAGAAAATATTCGACAAATAGTAAACCCTGCCGACGCGATGGCTAACTAACTAGCCGTCCATGCGCAAGTGCGCGTGCCCGCAAGATCCGCGACGTGGCCCGCTTTGTCGTTCGTTCCGTCTTCCCGGATCCCGGATCCTATTTCCCCCTAATTCCTAAGGCTGACTGACTTGCATCTTTTCCACAAATCGCCCTGGGTCTGCTTTGTAACGCCGTTCGGATGGCGTGGAAAGCGTTCGTGGTAGCTTGCATGCTTAGAGGTGCCGTTCGTTGATAATCGATTGATGATTGGTCACGAGTCAGCCTCGGGTTTGATTCGTCCACTTCCGCCAAAGAACTTCCTCTCGCGATACAAACGGGATCTGGCCATGGGCTGACGAGGATCTAGATATTTCCCAACTCAGCGGTGATGGTGCTCTCTTGGGGGATTGATGATCATCTTTCGGAAGACGGTGAGATTCGCTGGACGCCGCCGACATCCGCAGACGATTAGTGTGGGATCGTAGATGGAGGTATTGGAGGTGCGAAATGCTGAAGTGCACTTTACAAGTATGAATAAGTTCCATATACGACGCAGATGACATGAGTATTGCTCGATTCCTCACCCTTTCTTTCTCTCCGACCCCTCCAGTGCGCGTTCAGATGGACAGTATGGATGGTCTGGTCCTCTCCAACTTCAACCTGGTCTGCGCCGCATTCGGCGGCTTCCTGCTGAGTTTCGGGCTGGTGTCTGAGGCATGGAAGCAACAATTCCTGCTCTCGGAAGCATGTGAGTTTTCCTGACTAGGGTCTCACGACCTCGAGCTCACAAGACGACCCAGTGATTGCCTTGATTGCAGGTGCAGTTCTCTCAAAATTTGCGGGAATCCTCCGTCCAGAGGAGTATGGGTGCGGAGAGAGCAAGCACATCGACTCAATCACCCTGGAATTCTCCCGGCTGGTGCTCGCGGTCCAACTGGTCCTCACGGGCGTCCAGCTCCCTCGGCGCTATCTCTCCAAGGCATGGCGATCGGTTTTCTACCTGATTGGCCCAACTCTGACGTTGATGTGGCTCAGTGCAGGCCTGATCATCTGGTTGACGTTGCCTCGTCTGGGCTTCGTCCACGCCCTGGCCATCGGAGCCTGTGTCGCTCCGACCGATCCAATCCTCTCCAACGCGGTCATCAAAGGCCGGTTTGCAGAGCTCAATACTCCGAAGCCGGTGCAGAGTCTCATCACGGCCGAAGCAGGGTTGAACGATGGCCTTGGGTATCCATTTCTCTTCTTCGCACTTTACTGGATCAAGCACTCCGGAAGCAAAGGGTTTCCGCTAGATATTCTCACCTCCTGGCTCGGGGGTACTTGGGGCTACGTTGTCATTTTCAGCATCGTCTATGGCGTGGTCGTCGGCTACGCCGCACGAAAGCTGTTCTTCGCTGCCAGAAGACGCGGGTTCGTCGAGGAAGAGAGTTCCTTGACGTATGTCATTGCGCTGTCACTATTCATCTTGGGTACCTGTGGAATACTGGGAACCGACGACATCCTCGCCTGCTTCGTCGCCGGGTGCACATTTGCGTGGGATGACCAGTAAGTCCGCGGTGGAGATCTTCTTGAGCTGTTACTTACCTCGCAGGTTCGAGCAGGACGCCTGCAGTGAACTCTTCTGGTCCGCAGCGGATATGTTGCTCAACGTCTCCATCTTCATATGGTACGGAGCCGCCGCGCCATGGACATTATTCACCACAAACAGCATCATCTCGCCCGGACGACTATTGGTGCTGGCCGTCCTAATCCTTTGTCTCCGACGCTTACCAGCAATCTTGATCATGAAGCACAACGTAACCGAGATCGGAAGCCTTTTCCAGGCCATGTTTGTCGGCTTCTTTGGACCTATTGGAGTTTCAGCCATTTTCTATCTGCTAATCGCCGTGGAGTTCCTCGAGGAGTTGGTCCAGGATGGTAGCCAAGCTACGGTACTCGGGGATATACAGTTTCTCCAAGATGCCATGCGGGTCGTTGTATGGTTCCTCGTCGTGAGCAGCGTCATCGTCCATGGCTTGGCCTTGCCGCTGTCCAAATTGTGCTGCTGGATCCCTGTCGCCTGCCGTCTCGTACCTGGACGGGGGTTACTCGATAAGTCTGATGACGCAGAAGCCGGACCGGACTCCGTTCACAGAAAACTTCGAGATCATTTCGCCGTTGATTCTTCAAGTAAGGAAAGTGAGACACGCATTGGTGTCGCTGAAAATGGATATAACACCATGGACTGAGGCGAATGTCCCGGCTAAATATTCCCTCTGAAAGGAGTCGTTGTGAGGGAGGCACTTCGAAATATCAATAGATTTCTCCGCAGTAAGTAATTAGAGGCAATGCGGGATAGTTGGGAAGCCCACAGCGAGAGCATTCCCTGGCGTCTTAGAGCAGAATCCTGTTCTCAGCTTAAGGTTCGGGGGGCACAAATCCATATCTGCCGAACATACAAGTAGGCTTGGATCCATCATCAGGAAGTTGCATCTGGTAGAGGGTAAAGGGTGAAGTTGACCTCTGCCTCTGTGTCGTCTCAACTGACTCATGTTAGCAGATGTCATCGCTTCCACATTGGGAAACTCCGAGGCAAATTGTAGGATGGGCGTAATGAAGAAGCACACGTAGAGAAGAATGCTTCGAGGGGCGCAAGAGTACGGGGTGGAGCGGAAGGGATCAGTCAATCAAAGTCCTGCGTAGATCAGCTTGCTCGTACTCGCCTACTGTGTCGTGACATTCATGGCGTTTCATGAATAGAGAGGCGAGACTGGGTCAAGACCGCATTGATTAGTCCCAAGAATGGCCACTTCAACACCAACGATGGCTGGCTTGGAAAGTGCCAGCAGCCCAAGACGGTCGTGGATCGTCGTGAAGACGTCGAGATCTCGATCGTGGGTGACTTTCATCAAGTATTGTTGATGGTAGTAATAGAGGGCGACAATTAGGCGTTTCTCCGGACTCCTCGTATACCCAACAGAAGCTTCATTCCTTCAGTCTCATGACCTGTCCAATTCGAGTGTTAGCATTGCCCGATGTATTCAGCAAAGCCTCAGACCACGACTTACCCTTGACACATGGACAGCCTGTACAAATCCAATCACCGTCGAGAGGTACTGTCAACGGCATTCTCCACGGAGATTCAGACCGTGGAGCCTCACGATTCAGGCTGCCCCAAACCTTCAAACCTCCAAATCTCCACGGACTATCGCCAACATCCTTCAAACCATCTCCGAATCCACGCTGTAAGCTTGCAAACAGTCTTTCTCTAACGAGCTCGGGCCGAGGTGTCTAGACCAGGTAAGGGAGTATAAACCCCGCTTGAGTACGGTCTCGTCCCCAGAATCGAAAGAGGAGCCGTCGCAGCACGCTGTTTGTGTTAGTTCAGGGATCGTCGACACAGAGGACCACTTTCAGGATCTATAAAGGTTGAAAAGGTTGTCAGTCTTACAGTGCACTATCACCTCCCCCCAGATTGAGATTTACGATACCGTGTACTCCTGCCAAAATGATTACTCGTGAGCGCGAAGCTACTCTCACCTTCACTCCTCTCGCCCGGACCTTTGGCGCAGAAGTCCACGGCGTTGACTTCTCAAAGCCCATTTCGAAAGAGACTGCAGCCGAGATACGAGACGCGTGCAACAAATATGGTGTCCTCGTGTTCCGCGGCACAAACATCGACAATGCGCAGCAAATTGCATTCACCGCCCACTTTGGCGAGATGTATGATGTGAAAGCACACATGCACGCCGGACGAAAGATGCGTTTTCCAAACCAGCCTGAGATCTTCGACGTCTCGAACCTCGACGAAAATGGCAACGTGCTCACCGAGCTCGAGCCGGCACGCGTCGGAGCGAATAAGGGCAACTGCCTTTGGCACGCAGACATGGCCTATAACCCACGCCGCGCACACTATTCGATCCTCCGGGCGGTCGAGCTTCCCCCAAAAGGTACCGGAGGGGAGACGCAGTATCTCGATTCCCGCACCGCGTACGACGATCTTTCCGAGGAGATGAAACAACGTATCGAGCCTCTCGTCTGCAACAACTCGCTCTACCACAACCGAAAGCTCGCAGCCCCAGACACGTTTGCGGATTTCGAGCCCTTGGAGTTTCCGATGGCACGACATAAGCTGGCCCAGCTGCACGAAGAATCGGGGCGCATGAACCTGTACGTTACAACATACGTGCATCATTTCGACGGGGAAACCATCGAGCAGAGCAGACCGCTGGTGAACGAGTTGCTGGACCACGTCTCGCAGGATAAATACTTGCTGACTATTGAGTGGGAAAACAACGGTGACATGGTTATGTGGGACAATACGGCGGTGTTGCACCGGGCCACTCCAGGAGGAGCGTACACCACCAAGTATAAGCGAGATGTGCGTCGAACATCGACCAAAGACAGCAGCTCTTATGGATGGGGGGTCGATCGCACTGCCACCTGGGAAGCTGGACTCCGAACAACCAAAGAATAAGTGTGTGAGAACAGAGAAGACATCCTGTGCAGTTTCAGGGTTATGGTGTAATGTATGATCTGGACTTTCCGTATAACTTGGATCTTTCAGTTGTTCTCGTATGTGTCCAAAAGGAGATTGATTGAGTCTTGTTTGTCTGGTGAAGTTGAATATGAGACTATATCGAATTACGTAAGCCACTCATTGATTGTGCGACCGCGATCCGAGTCGCGCCACAACGCGAACTGTGCCCCGACGTCACCGTCGTACCTCTTTCCCAAATAGACAGAAAAGCCCTCCCACAATGGATGGTTCTTCATCACTAAATCCTAGTGACCAAGATCAATGACAAACAACGATCAATATGTCCTGGTGACTGGCGCAAACAGGTAAGCGAGGCCCCCCATTAGAACCGCTCTGTCCAATCGATTCGAGTCTGACTTGGGACTGCGCCCTACACGCTGAAGCGGCCTGGGTCTGGGAACCTGTTTTCGTCTCGTCGACGAGTACCTTGCTTCTCACACCCACGACGATGGCACCCTGACCATCATATTCACCACTCGAAGTGCCAAAAAGGGCGCCGAGACTCTGTCGACCCTCGAGAAACACCTCGCCAGTCACAGCGACACCTCCACCTCCAGTCGCAAGATCTATTTCCAATCCGAGAATGTCGAGTTGACGAGCCTCCTCTCCGTTCGTGCCCTGAGCCGCAAACTCCTCGCCTCAGATCTTCCGCATATCAATGCGATAGTCCTCAATGCTGGTATAGGAGGATGGTCAGGTCTTAACTGGCCGCTGACACTGTGGACAGTCTTGACGGGCATCAGACAGGCTACAACATGGCCGACATTCAAACTGGGTCTCGTCGGGCTGGTGACAAAACCACAATTCCCCAAGGGGACTGTTATCGGTGAGGAACCGATCCTTGGAGAGGTCTTCTGCGCAAATGTTTTCGGACATTACATGCTGGTACACTGGCTCATGCCGTTATTCCGCGCATGCGCACCCGATTCCCGCGGCAAGATCATCTGGTCAACTTCCATCGAGGCGGTAGCATCTCACTATAACCCCGACGACCACCAAGCCCTGAAATCCTCCGCGGCGTACGAACACACCAAGCGGATGGGAGACTTGCTGGCGCTGAGCGCGGTCGACCAGCTAGCAACAGCCAAACAAGTCAAAGAATACACGACACCTTCCTTGGATCCTGCACGAGAGCGGCCAGATCACTCCGAGCCGACCTTCCTTGTGTCGCATCCAGGCATCTGTACCACCACCATCATCAGCCTGTACTGGATCATCCACGAATGCTACCGCTTAGGCATCTACCTGGCCCGTTGGTGCGGCTCGCCCTGGGCCAACGTGACCAGTAACCTCGGCGCCGCGGCGGCAACGTGGCTTGCGCTCGCGTCCCTAGCAGACATCAGAGACAGAGCTATCCAAGCCACCGGCGACGAAGACGGCGGGCCATGTAAATGGGGGTCATCCACCGACCGTCTAGGCCATTCTTCCGTTCGAGTCACCGATGTCCCCGGCTGGGGCATTAACGGCAGCGGCAAGCCCTTCAAAGATAAATGGTGGGGTGGAAGTCTGGGAAGGAAAACAGGATACACAGACGCGACCAAGGAAGACGTTGAAAATTTCGTCGCCGAGGGGGCAGAAGTGTGGAACAAGATGGAAGCCATGCGGAAAGACTGGGAGGCCAGGATTGAAGTGTACGAGGCCGCAGATCAGGGGACTCGGAGCAATGGACATGTGCCATAATGAAGAAATTGTCCCGTAGACAGGATGTAATAATACACCAATGGTCACATCCAATACCCATACAAACAACCTCTTGAGCTAGTTCTCTCTTCTTCTCTGTAAACCAACTCCACATCCCCGTTCTACTCTGCACTGCATTGCGCTGCGCTGTGCTGTATAATCTTATATCGAATCATATACCTACCTAGGTACTTACCTACCTACAAAGTAGGTATGCAATGTGCCCATCCATTCTCACGACTTCCCAGCATCCTCTCCCTCATCCTCATCCTCATCCTCATCCTCATCCTCGTCTATCCACCCGCGACACATCTCGACGGCCTTGCTCCACTTCCTGTAGAGCCTGTCGCTGGCACGCCTGGAGATGCCGGGCTCGAAAAACTGCCGGCCCTCGGCGTTGATTTCCTTGAGCTCGTCAAACGACGACCACACCTTGACGGCGAAGCCGGCCGCGATGGCCGCGCCGAGGGCCGTAGTCTCCCGCATCTGCGGTCGGTCCACGGGGATTTGGATGATGTCGGATTGTGTCTGCGGTACGGAGTCAGAAAAAAAACAAAACAAAAACAAATGACAGAAAATAGAGAACGGGAAATAGGAAATAGGATAGAGAAAACAGGGTAGATAAAAAGGGGGATGCTGGGAACGCAGAGCGGAAAAGGTCACGGAGTTTGTAAAAGCAGTTTTGTGTACAAAAGAAAACGTTGAAAAAGAAAAAAATGAGAAGGGGAAAGGGGTCTGATGATGGATGGCTAGGCTCACCTGCATGCACAAATCACTGTTACTCATGCCCCCGTCCACAGCCAACTCCTTCAGGTGAACGCCCGCGTCCTTCTCCATGGCATCTAGGATCGCCTTGGTCTGGAAACACGTCGCTTCCAGCGTTGCTCGGGCGATGTGGCCCTTCTCCGTGTACCCCGTCAGGCCAAATATAGTGCCTTTGACGTCGTCGTACCAATATGGCGCGAAGAGGCCCGAGAAGGCCGTGACGAAGACGCACCCGCCGTTGTCCTTGACCGTGCCCGCCAGCTCGGAGATCTGGGACGACTCGCTGCCGAATCCTAACTTGTTGACGAGGAATTTGACCGAAGAGCCGGCCACCGCGATGGATCCCTCGAGCGCGTATGCGGGCTTGATGCCCTGAGGCGAGAAGTCGTACGCAACTGTGGCAAGGAGGCCGTGTGTGGAGATGACGGGCTTTTCGCCCACGTTGTACAAAAGAAAACACCCCGTGCCATACGTGTTCTTTGCCCGACCCGGGGAAAAGCCACATTGTCCCACCAATGCGGCAGACTGATCGCCCAAGCAGCCTGTGATTTTGACCCCCTTGAGCTTGGTGGATGCGAGCGTGCCGTATGCCTCTGGATCTGACGAGGGTACGATCTTCGGTAAGTGTAGCTTCGGGGTCTTGACATCGAGGTCGAAGAAGGAAATCAGTTTGTCGTCATAAGACAGGTTATGGATGTTCATCCACATGGTTCTGCTGGCGTTCGTGGCATCTGTCACATACACGTTCTTTTCCGCACCGCCGTTCAACTTGTACACAAGCCATGTGTCCACCGTTCCAAAAGCCAGTCGTCCCTCTTCGTACGCCTTCTTCACCTTGTCAACGTGGTTTAGCATCCAGAGTAGTTTCGTGGAGCTGGGGTATGTTGACAATGGCAAGCCACACAGATCCATGAGCTTGTCTGCTCCCTTCTTCTGTTTGAGTTCGCGCACAATGTGTGCACTCCGAGTATCTGTCCATACAATCGCGTTGTGGAGTGGCTCTCCCGTTTTGACATCCCAGACCACAGTCGTCTCACGTTGGTTTGTGATTCCAATGGCTTTTATGTCGGAGAGAGAGTGGCCCTGAGAAGTGAAAGAGGCACACGCTTCGTCGATGCAAGTGCAGACCGATGAGACAAGCTCCTCAGGGTCGTGTTCATGCCAACTGTCAGGAGTAAGAGAGACGAAAATGACAAGAAAGCCACCTCGCGTTGTTTTATCACACGCAGGTCTCGTTCACACGCCAGAGAACTCACCCAGAGTGCGGATAATACTGCTCGAATTCGATTTGGTGCTCGGCCACAGGGTTGCCAGCAGGGTCAAAGATGAGAAACCGTGTGCTAGTTGTCCCATTGTCGATTGCGCCGACGAAGGTCTTATTTGATTTGTCAACCTATACCAGTGCTGGTCAGTGGGTAACATGAATATAGCAGGGACCTTCGAGAGTGAGTGAGAGTACCATGTTGGACAGTGGAGGCAAGCTTGGAGAACCGAGATGAGTCAACTGTTGCCTGAGTCGTGATAGCATGGGAAACAAATAGCTCACACGGGAGTTAGGAGGCCATGGAACCAGCAACAGAGCAAGCAAAGAACAACAATGAACGGCGAGATCAAATAGTTTGTTGCGTCAAACTGGAGCAAACCTCAGAGTGCGGAAATGCGGGGATGCATGTGTCTGCGGGAGCTATGATGCAACGCCGAGACGACGATCGAGTACAGCATGTGGGAAACTGCTCCTGAGCACACAATCATAAGTACCACCAATGAGGGACTTGGGATTACCGACAAGAAGGCCCGCAGAGTCCATACTGTGACCTGTTGTGCTAGTCGCCATGTCCCTGGTTGGTATCTGCGTACCAGAACATTTCGATGGATCGATTATGGCGATCTGTGCACAGACGAAAACGCACCAGAAAACCTCATTCAGGTTCAAAAGACAAATGAAATGTTTGGATTTGCCTGCCTTGGCCTTGATATGTACAATGACTGCTCCCTGCAAACAATCAGCGGGTTTTTGCAACGATTCTCCACTTTCAACGCACGGCTTTCTTGAATTCCTTTATTCCTCGTCCTCCTCACCACCTTCCTCCTCCTCTTCTTCATCGCTACCCACTGGTTCAGGTCCAATTTCTTCCAGCTGTCTGGCCCTGAGTTCCCTCATTCTGTCGGCAGGTCCCGGAGGTCGGGTGACCAAATCAGCGATTTGGCCGCGGCCGATCAACGAAGCCACGATACTGGCACCGACAATGAAAGTGAGAACGAATCGGTAGACTCCGTACCACTGGGGAGCCCAGCCTCGAGCAGAAGCTCTGGCATCATTGTAGTACAAAAAGGTGAACGCCATGAACTGGGCAATCAAGCCAACCTCTGCGGGGAGGAGAAGTGTTGGCCATGCCACGGCAGTGGCAACAATACCCATGGAGTATCTCGGATATCCCTTGTAACCACCGTAGCCGGCCCATTCAAGACCCCAGTGAATGGCACCAAGGAAAGAGATGATCTGAAACTACTGGTCAGTGATGAAAAATTTTACGTTTGTCTGGGTAAACTGACCGAGGCACCATAACCGAGCTGAATTGGCTCAATGATGTGCAGCAATGTCTCGGCTGTCTCGCCAGACATGAAAAATCCCTGGCCGTGGGTGGCCGCATATTGAATATCGAACGAGAGGTATACGGTGGTCAGAGACGTAGCCAGGTATGGGATGACACCTGCCAGACCGACATAAAGAGCTTCACGAGGCACTGCGGACAAGCTAAATGTCTCTTTGATCGTGTTCTGTGTGTCCCAGGGTTAGCAAAAGCGAACTGTGACATCCCACGCGTGCCGGAAACCCACAAAGTCACTTCGAATACCGCCCATCATATCCACATCCTCCTCGTCGGCAGTCTTGCTCTGCACTTCCCCAGTGACTTGTCGAGTTGTCGAGTCAGAAGAGACTGCTTGTGGGATTGGTTGCAAAATCTTTTCATGCAGTGCCTTTTCTGCCTTTGCGGTGTCATAAGCGTGGGCGTTATGGGCGTAGCGTACCAAAGCCCTCGGAACTGGCTGGAACGCGGCAACGGCGACGATACGAGAGGTCCGTACAGGACGAGCAGAGGTCCGCAGCGAGGCTTTCAAGGCATTGTTAAGGACGCTTGTTCGCGGGGTTGTAGCTTGGAACGAGGTGTAGGAGCGCGGGATCGAACGGACAGCGCTAGTGCGCAGCATGATCGTCGACATGATGGGCAATGGCAGGTCTGTAAAGTCGAAAAGGTTTACAGGCCGACCAGAGCCAGCTGGACTGGAGCTGCAGAGCGAAGTTGGAAGGAGTGGAGATGGTCGAAAGGTGCTCGATTGAAGAAAGGATTGAAGTTCGAAAGAGCTCGGATTGAGCTCACACTCTGGTGCTCGATATGGAAAAGCTTATTTGTTATGACCGTGTAAACAGATCACCTGTTCCACTTTGTGGGCGCTGATACCAGGTAATATTGGTTTCAAATGACAGCTTGGCTCAGGCCATCGTCATTGGCCGTGCCAAGCTTCCGCAGAGCTCCTGCGCCGAACCTCACTTGTCTTCTTCACTTTTGAACATACTGCCAGCGACAACATCCTCTCCACTCATTCATCGTGCAAGATGTCCTTCCAGCGTATTGGCCTGCGCCTTGCGCAGCAGCAGCTACGATCGCCTGCTTTTCGACCCCTCTTCCGATCCACCTTCCAGCGACGTCTCGCGAGCAGTGGTGTCCCAAGCCCACCAGGCCAGGGAACAAGCAAACTCGTTGGAACCGCCGACAATGCCTTCAATCGTGAACGAGCTGCCGTGAAAGCCCATGCTGCTGCTACAAGTGGTATGTCTTCTGACCACACCTTCACATCGGGAAGAAGGCTAACGTGTTCCAGACCTTTGGCGTAGACTCTCCATCTAGTATGAAGTCCCCATCTTCACCACGCAGCAAGAAACTTGGTTTCTAATCATCCTTACAGCGTCGTCATCCCATGCCTAATCCTGGCAAGCATTAACGCCTATAACCTCTGGAACGAGCATTGGGAGCATTGGAGTCACATGCCCCCTCTAGAAGAGCGCGTTGAATACCCCTACCAAAACCTTCGAACTAGAAACTTCTGGTGGGGAGATGGTGACAAGACTCTCTTCTGGAACGAAAAGGTCAACTATCACAGGAAGGACAAGCAGACCTAAAAAATATGAAAACCAAAGTGCGCTGGGCTGGCTTCAAAAGGCTCGTTTGAGCAAG